TTTTTTTTTTTTTTTTGAGACGGAGTCTCACTCTGTCACTAGGCTGAAGTGCAGTGGCGTGATCTCCACTTTGTGCAACCTCCGCCTCCCAAGTAGCTGGGACTACAGGCACGCGCCACCATGTCCAGCTAATTTTGGTATTTTTAGTAGAGATGGGGTTTCACCATGTTGGCCAGGATGGTCTCAATCTCTTGACCTCATGATACACCTGCCTCAGCCTCCCAAAGTGCTGGGATTATAGGTGTGAGCCACTGCACCTGGCATCCCCACCCCTTTATTTTTTTTTTTGAGACAGGGTTTGGTTCTGTTGCCCAGGCTGGAGTGCAGTGGTGTGATCTCAGTTCACTGCAACCTCCACCTCTTGGGCTCAAGCCATTCCCCACACCTCAGCCTCCCAAGTAGCTGGGACTACAGGTGTACAACATGTGCCAGGCTAATTTTTGTATTTTTTGTAGAGATGGAGTTTTTCTGTGTTGGCCAGGCTAGTCTCAGATTCCTGAGCTCAAGCAATTTGAATACCAAGGTGGGCGGATCACTTGAGGTCAGGAGTTCAAGACCAGCCTGGCCAACATGGCAAAACCCTGTCTCTACCAGAAACTACAAAAAATAGCTGGATGTGGGGGTGCACGCCTATAATCCCAGCTTCTCAGGAGGCTGAGGTGGGAGAATCACTTGAACCCGGGAGAGAGAGGTTGTAGTGAACAGAGATCACCACTGCACTCCAACCTGGGTAACAGAGTGAGACCCTGTCTCAAAAACAAAAAATAAAATTTATATATACACATATATATATTTGAAATCATTGAGTAAACAATTTTGCATTTGCATTCAGCATTTTTTTCATTTACAATATAATTAAAATTTGAGATACTAATGACCAGGTGAGATTCTCTAAGTCCTAGGTTTTACAACTAGAGTACTGTCTTTGAAACAGTCTATTTCATGTCTTTGCAGCTGGCTAAGACTTACCTTTTCGTGTTTTGAGTCTTATCCTAAGTCTCAAAATTACCCAAACAAGTTACAGTATTTATTGTTTAAAGAGTAAGAAAAACATGAAGTTTAAAAATGTAAAACAAGAAGAGTCTTCTTCTTTTTTTTTTTTTTTTTTTTTTTGAGATGGAGTCTCGCTCTGTCGCCCAGGCTGGAGTGCAGTGGCCGGATCTCGGCTCACTGCAAGCTCCGCCTCCCGGGTTTACGCTGCCTCAGCCTCCCGAGTAGCTGGGACTACAGGCACCCGCCTAGTTTTTTTGTATTTTTTAGTAGAGACGGGGTTTCACCGGGTTAGCCAGAATGGTCTCGATCTCCTGACCTCGTGATCCGCCCGTCTCGGCCTCCCAAAGTGCTGGGATTACAGGCTTGAGCCACCGCGCCCGGCCAAGAAGAGTCTTCTTATAGATGAGAAAGTGGAAGCACTATATAGGGAATATATTCATTTCTTCAAATGTAGCTTATGGAGTTATTGACTACTTACTGTATGTTAGTATTTTTCTTAGCACTTTACATTAATGTATTTAATTATATTTGATAGTTTCATTGTATATTCCTGAATATAAAGAGGCGGGAGTTAAACTTGTTGCTTGATAGTCTTTTTATTATTTTTCTTGTGCTTCAAGACAGACACATTCCTTAATTTTAGAATACTTGAACTTAAATGGACCACTTTCTTGGAAAATAGGTTTTTTGGGTTTTTTTTGAGACAGGTTTTTTTTGTTGTTGTTGTTGTTTTGTTTTGTTTTGTTTTTTGTTTTTTGAGACGGTTTTGCTCCGTTATCCAGGCTGAAGTGCAGTGGCATGATTACTGCTCACATCTCCTGCCTCAACCTCCTATGTAGTGAGACCACAGATGTGTGCCACCATATTTGGCTATTTTCTTTCTTTCTTTTTTTTTTTTCAATTTTTGTAGAGACAGGGTCTTGTTATGTTTCCCAGGGTGGTCTTGAATTCCTGGATGCAGTCAGTCCTGCCTCAGCCTCCTAAAGTGCTGGGATTACAGACATGAGACATCACGTCTGACTGAAAAGAGTTTTCTTTTTGAATTAAACTGTAACTAAACTATAATTAATCATGATTAGCTCGGTGACTTAAGTAAAGCAAAATATAGTTGAATACTATAAAATGAAAATTCTAGAATTGAATACTACAGTATTAAGGTAATAGCGTTGCCCATAGCAGCTGCTTCAAAATGTATATAATATGTATATTATATGGACATGCGTACCTCTTTAGACTTAATCTTTTGTTATTTTTGTTTTGTTTTTGCATTGTCTGAGAAAAAATTATATAAAAGCACATGATTTTCATTAAGATACTGGTTTTCTTCTTCCAGCTTAAAGCAATAAATGTAGATCTTCAAAGTGATGCTGCGCTGCAGGTGGACATTTCTGATGCTCTTAGTGAGCGGGATAAAGTAAAATTCACTGTTCACACAAAGGTAAATGTGATTTTGTACTTTCTATTATTTTAGCCAGTTATTATACTACATATGTGATATGTTGACTGGTACTTGGATTTTAAACATAATTGGAAAGAGACTATTTTAACAAAAATAGGTGTAGGAAAATGTACTTTTTTTAGATTAATATTCTGAGAATCAGAACCTAGACAGAGGGCAAATTTAATTTTTTCCAAATTTTTATTAGTATCTTTTATCATTCTTGTTACTTTCAATTTCATTGTTCTTTCTGTCAAATTACTGTCTTACAAATGATTATTATTACTATTTTTTTTGAGATGGAGTCTCTTTCGTCCAGGCTGGAGTGCAGTGGTGTGATCCTGGCTCACTCACTGCAACCTCCGCCTCCTGGATTCAAGCAATTCTCCTGTCTCAGCCTCCCAAGTAGCTGGGACTGCAGGCACAAGCCACCACGCCCAGCTAATTTTTGTATTTTTAGTAGAGATGGGGTTTCACCATATTGGTCAGGGTGGTCTCTAACTCCTGACCTCAGGTGATCCACCCACCTTGGCCTCCCAAAGTGCTAGGATTACAGGCATGAGCCACAGTGGCCAGGCACAAATTATTATTGTTATTAGATTTCAGTTCTTGAGTGCATTTTCAGGTTGCAGATTTCTTTCCTTTGTTTGAATAGGTGAGTTTAATATACATTAGTAACGTAACTTTTAAGTAACTGTAGCAGTACAATATAATAAGAGTCTGTCAACTTACTTTCCCAACAATCCGAAGATAATTTTGTCCAGATATCTCAGATTTTATGATAGACTTTAAAGGGCACTGATGGTCTTGAAATAAGATGAATTTTTTTAAATGATAGAAAATATTTATTAAAAACTTTTTAAGGCCAGACACAGTGGCTTGTACCTATAATCCCAGCACTTTGGGAGGCCGAGGCAGGATGATCGCTTGAGTCCAAGAGTTCAAGACCAGCCTGGGCATCTTAGTGAGACCTCATCTTTACAAAAAATAAAATTAACCAGGTGTGGTGGTTCGTACCTGTAGTCCCAGCTACTTGGGAGACTGAGGTGGGAGGATTGTTTGAGCCTGGGAGGTTGAGGCTGCAGTGAGCCGAGATTGTTCCACTGCACTCCAGCCTGGTGGCAGAGCAAGACGCAGTTTCAAAAAACTTTTTAGTGTAAATTTGATTTTTATTCAAGAAAATCTCTATCTTTACAGAGTTCACTGCCAAATTTTAAACAAAACGAGTTTTCAGTTGTTCGGCAACATGAGGAATTTATCTGGCTTCATGATTCCTTTGTTGAAAATGAAGACTATGCAGGTTATATCGTAAGTATTGAGACTCCATTTTAATTCCATTTTCTAGGAGGTTTTAGGTACTTTATTATGTTTTGGAATATTGTTTAGCATTTTTTGTGAACTGTTTTTTTGTTTTGTTTTTGAGATGGAGTCTCACTCTGTTGCCCAGGCTGGAGTGTAGTGACTCCATCTCGGCTCACTGCAGCCTCTGCCTCCCGGGTTCAAGCAATTATCCTGCCTCAGCCTCCCAAGTAGCTGGGATTACAATCACGCACCAACACACCCAGCTAATTTTTGTATTTTTAGTAGAGACAGGGTTTCACCGTGTTGGCCAGGCTGGTCTTGAACTCCTGACCTCAGATGATTCGCCCACCTCGGCCTCCCAAAGTGCTGAGATTACAGGCGTGAGCCACCGTGCCCGGCTCTGTTATGTTTTTTAGAGACAGAGTCTCACTCGTGTTGCTCAGGCTGGAGTACAATGGTGTGACCTTTGTTCACTGCAACCTCTGCCTCCTGGATTCAGGCGATTCCCCTGCCTCAGTCTCCCAAGTAGCTAGGATTACAGGCACCCGCCACCATGCCCTGCTAATTTTTTTTTTTGTATTTTTAGTAGAGACGGTATTTCACCATGTTGGCCAGGCTGGTCTCCAACTCCTGACCTCAGGTGATTCTTCCTGCCTCGGCTTCCCAAAGTTCTGGGATTACAGGTATGAGCCGCCACATCCAGCCTGATATGTTTTTTTAAATTGTCAGTTATGAAACATGTTTGGTTACCACCTTTATCCTGAAATGTTTTCTTAGGGGATGTGGGATATGTTACGTTCCCTCATTTAAACTTAATTTCTTACCGTTTGTTAAAATTGAAATGGGCTTGTCCTAGGGACTAAGGAGATGTTACAAACCATACTGGTTTTAAAACCGTGGTTGGGGCTGGGCGTGGTGGCTCATGCTTGTAATCCCAGCACTTTGGGAGGCTGAGGCGGGTGGATCACAAGGTCAGGAGTTCAAGACCAGCCTGGCCAATATGGTGAAACCTCGTCTCTACTAAAAATATTTTTAAAAATTAGCCGGGCGTTGTGGCAGGTGCCTGTAATCCCAGATACTCGGGAGTCTGAGGCAGAATTGCTTGAACCTGGGAGGCAGAGGTTGCAGTGAGTCAAGATCCCACCACTGCACTCCAGCCTATGTGACAGAGCGAGCCACTGTCTCAAAAAAAAAAAAAAAAGAAAGAAAGAAAAAACCATAGTTGGACAGATACTTAAGAGTTGGAAGTCTCGGCTGGCCACAGTGGCTCACGCCTGTAATCCCAGCACTTTGGGAGGCCAAGGCAGGCAGATCACCTGAGGTCGGGAGTTTGAGACCAGCCTGACCAACATGGAGAAACCCCCATCTCTACTAAAAGTACAGAATTAGCCAGGCCTGGTGGCACATGCCTGTAATCCCAGCTACTCAGGAGACGGAGGCAGGAGAATCGCTTGAACTCAGGAGGCGGAGGTTGTGGTGAGCCGAAATCACACCATTGCACTCCAGGCTGGGCAACGAGGCACGGTGGCTCACGCTTGTAATCCCAGCACTTTAGGAGCCTGAGGTAGGTGAATCACCTGAGGCAAGGAGTTTAAGACCAGCCTGGCCAACATGGCGAAACCCCGTCTCTACCAAAAATACAAAAATTAGCTGGGTATGGTATTGTGCGCTTATAATCCCAGCTAAAAAAGTAGATAACTTTTTTTTTTTTTTTTTTTTTTGGAGACAGGGTCTTCCTCTGTCACCCAGGCTGGAGTGCAGTGGTGTGAGTTTGGCTCATTGCAACCTCCGACTCCCGGGTTTAAGCGATTCTCCTGCCTTAGCCTCCCGAGTCACTGGGATTACAGGCGCCTGCCACCAGACCCAGCTAATTTTTGTATTTTTGTCAGAGACGGGATTTCGTCATGTTGGCCAGGCTGGTCTTGAACTCCTGACCTCAAGTGATCCTCCCACCTCGTCTCACAAAATGCTGGGATTATAGGCATGAGCCACCACACCCAGCCTCAGGTTATCTAATCTTAATATGTACCAGATGTGACCAGTCATGTTTTCTCACGCCTGTTTATCCCAGCAGTTTGGTAGGCCAAGACAGGCAGATTGCTCTAGCGCAGTAGCTCAAGACCAGCCTGGGCAACATGTTGAAACTCTGTCTCTACCAAAAAAAAAAAAATTAATAATAATAAAATAAATATGTGCCAGATGTTATAGTAAAGAATAGATGGTTATTGTGGTCTCAGCTGTTAACCGCATTCAGATTTCTAAAATTTTTTTTTTTTTAATCATCATGACCTGATTTCATCTCCATCCTTGTGGCTTCCACCCTTTTCAGTAATTTGTTTTCTTTTTCTTTTCTTTTTTTTTTTTTTTTTTTGAGACAAGGTCTTGCTCTGTCACCTAGGCTGGGGTATAGTGGTGCTAAGCATAGCTGAATGCAGCCTCCAACTCCTAGGCTCAGGTGATCCTCCTGCCTCAGCCTTCTCAGTAGCTAAGACTACAGGTGTCTACACCCAGCTAATTTTCAAATTTTTTTATAGAGAAGAGGTCTCACTCTTTGCTTAGGCTGGCCTCAAATGATATTCCTTGGCATCCCAAAATGTTGGGATTACAGGCATGAGCCCCCACCATGCCCAGCCAACAGTTCTTATTTATGGACCCTTCCTCCTAAGACAGTTTTTTTTCTTACATCTTTCTCTTGAATGATATATCTCTTCTAAATCTTATATTTTTATTTAAGGTAAGTGCTTACTTACTCCCTGACTGTGGATGAATAGAGTGAAGTTAGTCATTAATCTGTGTCTTGTTCTTTTATTTTCTGTGTGTGTGTGTTTTTTTTGTTTTTTTTTTTTTTTTTTTTTTTGAGACGGAGTCTTGCTTTGTCACCCAGGCTGGAGTGCAGTGGCACCATCTTGGCTCACTGCAAGCTCTGCCTTCTGGGTTCACGCCATTCTCCTGCCTCAGCCTCCGAGTAGCTGGGACTACAGGCACGCACCACCACGCCCGGCTAATTTTTTTTTGTATTTTTAGTAGAGACGGGGTTAGCCAGGATGGTCTCGATCTCCTGACCTCGTGATCCGCCCGCCTCGGCCTCCCAAAGTGCTGGGATTAGAGGCGTGAGCCACCGCACCCGGTTTGTTCTTTTATTTTTAAAACAGTTCTTTTTTCTTGGTACATTCCTCCAATCCAGGACCCGTTTTAACATCCCTTGCTGCATTGTAATGTATTCATTAATTTAAAAATTTTTAATTAGTATTAATTTTAAAAAACACAATAGCATAAAGCTATTAGGAGTTCATTAATTTTTAAAATGCATTTTTGTTGGCCGGGCGTGGTGGCTCACGCCTGTAATCCCAGCACTTGGGGAGGCCGAGTCAGGCAGATCATGAGGTCAGGAGATCGAGACCATCCTGGCTAACATGGTGAAACCCCGTCTCTACTAAAAATACGAAAAGAAATTAGCTGGGCATGGTGGCAGGAGCTTGTACTCCCAGATACTCGGGAGGCTGAGGCAGGAGAATGGCGTGAACCCAGGAGGCAGAGCTTGAAGTAAGCCGAGATTGTATCACTGCACTCCAGACTGGGTGACAGAGCAAGACTCCGTCTCAAAAAAAAAAAAAATACATTTTTGTTTAATCATACCATTTATATACTTTTGGAAAGTGATATGCGTATTTGTTACACGTGTTCAGTCTGTGGTCAGAGCTTAGTACACACATGAATTTGAGGATTCCAGGTTGCTGTGGGAGTCTGCAGATTGAAATTTATTTAGAATTGCTGTTTTAATAGCAGAAAGTAGTTCTATCTATGCTGTATTTCTTCTTTAGTGTACAGGACCTCAGAACTCTTTTTTTGTTTGTTTGTTTTTTGAGACGGAGTCTCGCTTTGTTGCCAGACTGGAGCGCAGTGGCACGATCTCAGCTCACTGCAATCTCTGCCTCCCTGGTTCAAGCAATTCTCCTGCCTCAGCCTCCCGAGTAGCTGGGGACTACAGGCGTGCGCCACCACATCCAGCTAATTTTTGTATTTTTAGTAGAGACAGAGTTTCACCATGTTGGCCAGCATGGTCTCAATCTCTTGACTTCATGATCCACTTGCCTCGGCCTCCCAAAGTGCTGGGATTACAGGTGTGAGCCATTGCGCTCGGTCAAAACTCTTAATTTTTACAACTAGTCAAGTTCTCCAATCTGAATTTGGGTGTTCCTGGTGTTCAGCTCATTCTGGATACCCTTAGCTTTCCCAGACACAGTCTTTTATGGTGGCAGTAGTACAGTGCTTCAAGAAATGAAAATTTCCTTAAAATTAGTGATTTGGTCCTGTTACAGATTCCACCAGCACCACCAAGACCTGACTTTGATGCTTCAAGGGAAAAACTGCAGAAGCTTGGTGAAGGAGAAGGGTCGATGACGAAGGAGGAATTCACAAAGATGAAACAGGAACTGGAAGCGTATGTGATTTTTTTTTTTTTCCTTTTTGTGGTCGTTGTTGCCTTTGTTAATTGTGCTTGCCTTTTTTGGTGTTTTCTGATATCCCATCATTTTAATTGTTTCACCATGGAGACCCTGTCTGGAAGATGCAGGTTTAAGTCACACAACCAGTATTAATGATCATGATCAGAGCCTACAGGAAAATGATGGAATAATTGTCTCCACTGTAAAATTATTTAAATTCATATTTGAAATAGACCCTGAAAGTTGAAAATGGAAGATCCAAAAGCTTATTTTAAAAAAGTAAAAGGTCCAGTCTGTCTTTGGACTTGGGGAAAAAGAAATAGAGAACATGACTTTTTAAAGCAGAATAGACATTGTTTTATTTCTATTTACAAAGCTTAGTCACTACCAACCTAGTTCTCTTTTTTCAATGTGGACATATTGCCATAATTCTCAAAAGAGAATGTACTGAGCAACTACATATATTCTGTTTTCTTAAAAATGCATGTGTATGCAATGCGAATTATCACAATTTTTTCAAGAATCTAATACATTTCTAGTATATATGAAACTAATACAGTCATTTCATGAAAAACAGTTTTTAACTATTCTCTAGTTACTTTGCTTCTGTATTCTTTTCCCTTTGGGCAGAAGCCACAGGCAGAGAAAGGAAGAAAGGGAAATTATGTACAGGTTGAGTATCAGTTACACAGAATGCCTGGGAGTACATTTTGGATTTTAATTTTTGGGTTTTTTTGGACTGTTTCCTTTATACTTACTGATTGAGCATCCCTAATCTGAAATCTGAAATGTTCTGATGAATATTTCCTTTGAGCGTCATGTCTTTGTTTAAAACTTTTCAGATTTTGGAGTATTTTAGATTTCAGATTTTGGGGTATATTTTCAGATTTTCAGCCTATATTTCATTTTTAGTGTATTTGCTAAACATACAGAATCTTTCCCCTTTTATTAAACATTTGGAGTAATTTTGGATTTGCTGGATATGTTTCTCTTTTTTTTTTTTTTTTTTTTTTTTTTTTTTTTTTTGAGACAGTGTCTTGCTCAGTCGCCCAGGCTGGAGTGCAGTGGCCGGATCTCAGCTCACTACAAGCTCCGCCTCCTGGGTTCACGCCATTCTCCTGCCTCAGCCTCCCGAGTAGCTGGGA